TCTGTCGATGGAGCCATGTAGCCTAGACACACCCCCAGTGTGCATATTCCTCTTTCATTGATAAAGGGGGCTTAACGGAATGAGCTCTTATGTGTAAAACTTTTACATAGTGAAAGACTGATTTATCTGGGGTTTTGCTCCCCTTCAGGGGTTGATTTCCTGGGTGCTATACCCTAGAACTGCATTCTCCCAGGGCTGAAGTGCTTCAGTGTCTGCATTGCTCTTCAGGGGGCAGTAACCTGAACTCTGTGCCTTGTCTAGGGGAGACCAGAGGATCTGGACCAGCAGGACAGGGTGGTGGGGAGCCCCAGAGAGCAAGAAGGCGGGATCAGTGGCATGATCAGCACACCTGGATATAATCCCAAAGGGTCTTCTGTGACTGCTTGCCATCCCACACCCCTCTCCTCAAACTCCCCTCCCCCCACATTTCTTAAAAATTAAAACATTTTAAGTTTTTTATAAAGGTTTTGTTTCTATGCGTCCATCAATTTTTAAAAAAGACCCTGTGACGGGGTGGACTAGACCCCGACGTCCCCTGCTGGAGGCTTTGCTCCACTCCGCCCCAGGGAGAAGAGCAAACTTTTTTGCCCACTGGATCCTGGATTTCTCAGTGAATGCTGCTTGTTAATGACACTTGTAGTCACTTATCTGCTGGGGCCTAGACTCAGAGTACAGACTAATTTCTCACATTGATATATGAACTAGCCATCCAATGGAAAGAATTTTCCACATTGAATCTGAACTGATGGTCTAAAGATAAAAGGGTCCATCTCCTGCTACCACCTCCATTGGCTTCCACCCAAACTTATAGCAAACAAATTTCAAGAAGAAGCCATATAACACTTACTATGCAATTGTTGTTACAGTGATGACCTTCAGTCATTGACCCACATACAGGAAGGTGCAGAGCCATGTTGCCCAAGAGGGGTGGCCTGCAGGAATTATGCCCTGTGGGTGGAGTGGGATGAATAATCCATTCTGGAGCTCCTGAACATGCTGAAGAGCATGCCCATTCCTACTCTCCTTCAGCTCTTAGTGCTAAACCTCCACTAACCAGCAGCAACTGCAACTGTGTCCATTAACTGTATAGGCAGCAAAAGGGGGAGGCCTCTTGTATCCTCTCATTCTCTTGCACATTTGTGCAGCAGCCAGACACAATGTGGCTCACAAGAAGAATAAAAAGGTCTCATACAGGACCTTCTTACCTGTCCCACAAGACTAATTGGACAAAGACCTGCCTTCAGCAGGTTACCTCAATTGCTACGAGTTGGTAAAGATGAAGGTGGAGTGTTGACATGAAATCCAAGTCTCTGCAAAAGAGAGGGAAAGATGAAGGTGGCTGGTAATGGGAAAGTCAACACTTTTCACCTTCTGCCATCATGTGTAGAAACCACCTCCACATAAAGCAGACTGCAATGTAATTATAGTTTAGATATCATCTTGATTTTTAAGTACAATAGCACCTCACAATGTAATACATCCCTTTTGCCCTTTCCTATTTTCATCCCCAGTAATATAAACTATAATATTTTCAGCAAAATCAAAGGCCCGCACAGTACAGTAAACTACAAAATGCAAGTGCCTCGTACTGTAAGTGGGCATGCACAAAAGTGATTGCATTAGGGATATAGTGAAGATATACCATTTTTAATAAGGCATACAGGCTCTACTGGGGTTCTCCGATAGTCAACAGCTGTCTGAGTCACTTTGTTCTGGATGACATATTGACCAAAAGTGTGTCTTTGATACTCAATGGAGGAAGAAGGTTTTATTCTTGCATAATAAGGACACAGAAGAATCTGACAGCAGCTTGTCCAAACAGCTGTGTTGACAGCATTCTCTGTGCAATGATGACAATTAATAATTGTGGTAAAAATTAAGCAAGGAGGATGAAACCAATCAGGGTATAAGCACAGTTTGAAAAACAAAACAACAAAACCTCCTAGCCTGTACAGATCAGTGACTTTCATGAATGCCAGTATTCCAGAAAGACACTTATTTGCAAGACTAAGGCTGAGATTTTCAAAGAAACTTATGGGAATCAGGTACTCAGCTCTGTTTATAGTTCAATGGGTTTTGAGAGTCCAACTCCTTTAGGCTCAAATGAAAATCCTACTGTATATTCCCTTGTGTTATTATTCATAACTATTAACATGAACAATTTTAACTTTCAACTTCAGTTTAGAAAAACCAAAGCAGTAAATGGAACAAAGTCACAAACTTGCAGTTTCCTGTCATGTCTATTCTTTTCTTATTCCTTTGCTGTGGGCATTCTTGCCTGGTTAACAGCAGTGCTAGCTAATCACACATTAATATGCCCTGGCTAGTTGTGTTTCTGTCACACTCCACTTACTGAATCATGCAATGGTTTGAATCTGCTACTGCTTCTAAATTACAGGACTGGACATTTAGCTCAAGTTGTACATTTTAAGACTTATGTTTTAAGATCCAGAGGTCCCAAGTTCCAATTGCTGACTCAACCAATGGTACAAGTAGGGCAGGTTTCCATGTATATTAAGGCTTCTTTATGCCATATGGCCATATAAAGGGGTTTTGGTGCCAATGAGAATTCAAGCCACTATGATGGATCTTCTGAAAACAGCTCCTCACTTTCACACATGTTGACTTCTCTTCTCTCTACCTTTGGAAGTCAGGTGTTCATGACTCTTTTATCAAACTCTATTTTTCTTTCAGAATAAAGGGAAAATGCTCCTTTCAAAATAGTCCCACTTTTCTTAGTGCCGATTCATAAGGCAAAACACCCTCTACAGTGTCTACATGAGAACTGCTTGATTTATTCATTGCAGCCAATTTATTCAGTGAGCTTTGTTCTTCAATTTGTGAATTGTTCATGAACACCTCCTTGAAAATGTATTCATTTTTCAAAGCTTTTTGCTAGCCTATACCTAACTTTCATCAATAATCTTAGTCTTAAATAAGCAGAGTAAAGCAACAAGTCATGTGTGGCTACTTCCTGTCCATACCATTTCAAAGTACTTGGCTACAGAGTACACAAGTGATGTTGCTAATGTCTATAACACTGAGCTGATACTAGTCAGCTTGTGCTTGCCAGTTTCTTGACCAGTTTGACCTTTGTTGGCAGCTACTTTCTCCACATGGTTGTGGTAGATTAGCATGGGATCCATCTTCACTCTGAGAAAGGTTGGAATGGGGTCAAGTCAGTGTTCTTTGAAATGGCATGGACCGGAAGTAGCCACATTCAACTTGATGTCCAATGGAACACTGCAATGTGGTGCATCACTGGAACCCTTTAGTCGACCCCAACACCTTGGCTGCCATTGTGGTCATCCATTCACTGGGATGCCACAAAACGTTGGGAATTCCAGAGAATCATGGAAAATGAACATCTCATTAAGAGGAATTTAACAACATTCCTAAACTCTGCTCCAAGTTGCACAAGCCCTTGTACCCAAGCATTTCATCTTCACTAATGCCACTTCATCTCTTATGAAGCTGGGAAAGCCAAATGGAGCTGACACCTCATAAAGGACCCATGCAGAACATCCTTGGCTTCAATCTCCCACAAGGCTCCTGAACAACTCAAAATCGCATCCACACAAACCATGGCAGAGGGGGATACTTGCGGCACAAAGGAAAAGTTAAGACTCCCAGTGTTCAACTGTGGTCACCCAGAACAGACCTCAGAACATATGACAGTGTATGATTCACAAATAGAAGGTTGCATCACAGCAATGCACTCTGCTACTCCTGATGCAATTATCTGGCTTAACCATTTGAATGTACATCAACCAGACAAAGAAGTAGAACAGTAACTATGTCCTGGTTTGGGTATTTTTCTGATTTAACCGTACACTTGTAAGCATGTGACTAGGCAGCTTATATAAGTGACTTATATTGAAATTTGGAAATTAGCTGAGTGTTCAGGTGCTTTTATTTGTAGTACATTTCTTGAATAATAATGTCACTAACATTATTTGCTATCTTATTGGGGTGATCCTCTAGGTACCTTTTGTCTTTATCATCTACAAACTGGTTTTAAAAAGTTACTTAAATGTTCCAGGGATGACACCTTAACTCCACTGAACTCAAAATTAAAACTCCTGGCTTCAGTAGGGCCAGGGTTTTGCACTTGGATATGAATGCAACCACACTCGAAATTTCTTAGACCATGTTTTATTTCATTCTAAAAAATAGAACCTGAGCCACATACTAGAGTACTTTAAAAACAAACAAGCAAGCAAGCAAGCAAACAAACAAACAAACATTTTGGAACATTTAAAATGGTAGTACATCTTTTATATTTAGAGCACGGGAATAATAGTAAGAAATTTGTTATGTTTCTTCACCTTGGCTAAGTCACAGCAGATAATTCCAGAAGCCAGCATTTTCTGACTCCTTAGCCCATTCTAGGCAGGCATAAACAATGTGCTAATGCAGCTGTTTGAAGGGAGAGAAGCTGTATTTTTTCAGGGCTAGAACAAGGAAGTGACAGGCATTGAGATTTAAGTGACAGTGTATGATATTGGGAGCCACAATTAAAAGTCATTATGGGTTTCACAGAACAAATTATCATTGCACACCACTCTTCATGAAAATATTAACAGACCAATATTGAAACAGTGACTTGATCCACAGGTGGGTTAGAGGGTGGGAAGGATTGACTCAAAAACACCAGAAGAAAAAAAAATTCTGAACTAAGCTGAGTTGAACAGGCTAATAAAAAAGAAACAAAACTTGGCATAGACAGCAACTTGGGTACTGGCATTAATGTACAGCGAGGACAATTGACTTGAACTGCAACATTTTTCCTCAGTGTTTAATCAGACTTTGGCTTGAAAAAGTTTGGATGGGGTTTCTGTTCTTCTATTTTTCCTCTCCATCTTCTGCACACATTTGGATCTGCAGAGACGTGTGACACCAAGCAATAGACCCCCTCCAAAATGTTCACTTTTTTGATTGTATCCCTTTGGTATACATGGTCATGCCAATTTTCTTCAACAATTTGATCTAAGGAAGTGGGTCTGGCCCATGAAAGCTCATCACCTAATAAACCATCTTGTTAGTCTTTAAAGTGCTGCATAGTCCTGTCTTTTGTTTCAGCAAGACCAGACTAACACAGCTGCATCTCTATTACTAAGGTTGATCAAGCCATCCTACTTTCTCCACTTCTCCACTTCCTACTTCTCCACGTAGGCACCAATGATATTGCCAAGAATAACCTTGAGCACGGGTCACTGCAGACTACATGGTTCTGGGAAGAAGGATAAAGGAGTTTGAGGTGAAAGTTGCATTTTCATGCATCTTTCCTGTTGAAAGAAAAGGAGAGACCACTGAATTATGGTTTAGGTAGCTATCCCCTGGAGAACTTAGTTTAAAGCCTTTCTCAGTAGGCTAGCAAGCGTGCCTGTGAAGCTATTCTTCCCTCTCTTCATTAGGTGGATCCAAACGAATCCTAGAAATCCTTGTTCCTGGAACAACTTCCCTTAGGGTATGTCTAAACTACAGCATTAATTCGAGTTAACTTAATTCGAAATAGTTAATTTGTTTAATAGAAAAATGCTATTTCGAAATAGCGCATCCACATTGAGCGGACCCTGAACCGAAGTTAAGGCTGGCCGGAACCGGTGCCAGCAGGGCATCAGGTTAGGACTTAATGTGTGGGGCTGCTGCCTGAGGCTAACTGAGCTCCGTGCTTAAAGGGAAAACATGGACAGATGACTAGGGAGGAGTATAAAAACATTGCTTGAGCATGCACAGGGGTGTAATCAGGAAAGCTAAAGTGCAGTTGGAAATGCATCTAATAAGGGATGTGAAGGATAACAACAAGGGTTTCTACAGGTCTGTTAGAAACAAGAAGGTCAGGAAGAATGGGACCCTTAGGGTGCATCTACACTGCACTGTTATTTCGAGATAACTAGCATTATTTCAAAATAACAATGCAAGCATTTGTACAGCCATTCTGTTATTTCAAAATAATTTCAAAATAATGGACGGCTTATTCTGAAATCTGTAAACCTCATTCTATGAGGAATAACACCTATTCCGAAATAGTTATTTTGAAATAAGGCGTGTGTAGACGCTCCATTGCTGCTATTTTGAAATAGCCCCTAACCAGGGCCATTCTAAGTTTTTCCTCCCCAGTGCCTCCTGTGGTTCCAAATCGAGATAGTACATCTATATTAGGGAAGCCTGCCTCATACTCATTTTGAGGCTTCCCTGCAATGTAGACATGCTATTTTGAAATAAGAGTGCAATGTAGATGTACCCTTACTGAATGGGGAAGGCAACCTAATTACAGATCACGTGGGAAAAGCTGAAGTTCTGAAAGCTTTTTTGTCTCAGTCTTCACAGATGAGGTCAGCTCCCAGACTGCTGACTGGGCAGCACAGTATGTGGAGGAGGTAGGCAGCCCTCAGTACTGAAAGAACAGGTTAAGGACTATTTAGAAAAGCTGGACATGCACAATTCCCTGGGGCTGGATCTAATGCATCCAAGTGTGATGAGAGAGCTGGCTGATGTAATTGCAGAGCTAATGTAATAGCTGCGTAATTGATCTTTGAAAACTCTTGGCGATCAGGGGAGGTCTTGGACGATTGGAAAAGGGCAAATGTAGTGTCCATCTTTAGAAAGGGGAAGAAGGAGGATCCGGGGAACTACAGACTGGTCAGCCTCCCCTCAGTCCCTGGAAAAATGACAGAGCAGGTCCTCAAGGAATTAATTTTAAAACATTTGGAGGAGAGGAAGGTGATCAGGAATAGTCAACAAGTATTCACCAAAGACAAGTCATGCCTGACCAACCTGATTGCCTTCTATGATGATATAACTGGCTCTATGGATATAGGGAAAGCAGTGGACGTGATATACCTTGACTTAAGCAAAGTATTTTTGCTGGCAAATTAAAAAAGCATGGCCTGCATGAATGGAATATAAGGTGGATAGAAAGCTGGCTCAATTTTTCAGATCAATGAGTAGCGATCAACAGCGCAATGTCTAATTGGCAGCCGGTATCAAGCAGTTTTAGTCCAGGGCTGCCGGTTTTGTTCAACATCTTCATTAATTATCTGGTCTGGATAAGGGGCAGGTTTTCACCCTCAGCAAGTTTGTGGATGACTCTAAGCTAGAGGGAGAGATAGATATGCTAGGGTATAGGGCTAGGATCCAAAGTGACCTAGACAAATTGGAGGATTGGGCCAAGAAAAATCTGCTGAGGTTCAACAGGGACAAGTGCAGAGTCCCACAGTTAGGATGAATGGCTGGGAACTGACAAGCTAAGCAGCTCTGCAGAAAAGGACCTGTAGATTACAGTGGATGAGAAGTTGGATATGAGTCAACAATGTGCCATTGCTGCCAAGAAGGTTAATGGCATATTGGGCTGCCTTAGTAGAAGCATTTCCAACAGATTGAGGAAAGTGATTATACCCCTCTAATCAGCACTGATGAGGCCACATCTGGAGTATTGTGTCCATTTTTGGCCTCCCAGCCCAGGTTTCAGAGATGAACCTCTAGCACCTACACTGCTGGGTTTGATGCTATAAGCATAAAACCTGTGAGGTCAAGTCTGTAGACCCAGAGACTCATTGCTGTCTGTTTGTTTGTTTATTTGTTTGCAGTTTAGAAGATCCAATATGTCTCATTATGTGTCAGACAGAATCTAATACTTAATATAGTTCTCACACATACAGAATGGGAAGCGACTGTCTAGGAAGGAGTACTGCAGAAACAGGGGCGGATGAGAGTGCCGTGGGGCCCAGGAACGTTCTAGATGGTACTGGGTCCTGCCATGAGGGCAGGAGACTGGACTCAATGACCTCTCGAGGTCCCTTCCAGTTCTAGTGTTCTATGATTCTGACAAACTCCATTTTATTACTGTATTTTACTTAATGTGCATATCTGAACACATGCATGTGTGAATATCTTTGTGAATATCTGTCCATACTCCATGTTAGGTTTGACATGTGTGATTCATTACATGACTTACTGCTGATCTGTCTCTGAGAGACAGTGGTTTTGTATGTGCACAGAAAGAGAACATACCACCGGCTCTGCTCATCAGTGGAGTAAGAAGGCATGTGTTGAGTTCTAAAGCAGGAGAAAAGAGTATGCAAAGGCTAGCTCCATGCAAGGTATGGATTTGAAAAGTGGCTGGACAAGAATTGTGTTATTCTGCTACAGGATTTTGTACTCTGTGAGGATCTTGAAGCCCTTCCCCCCTGCTCTGTCGATTGATTTGAAGAGGCTCTCTTACCAGAATGTCTTCTTAGCCTGCAAAGTGTTTATGTTCTAGTTCATTGGTGCAATCTGTTCTGTTCTTCTATCCTAGGCAGCCCTCAAAGCACTGGAGTAAAACAAAGTTTGGCAAGTCAGTGACAAGCATCTGGCTCACAAACATCTGGAAGGGGGTGAAAAAAAAACCTTTTCTGAAAGCTCTTTGGTTCTCAGAAAACTGAGGTTGGGCTTACCTTCTTGTTCCCCCTTCCCAACGAGCCACTTTCACATGCAATATATTATTCTTTTTATCAGGCAAGACAGCAGCATTTGGAACATTTCAAACTGATATGTTAATCACCGAGAAACAATTTGTGATTTTTATGTGGTGGGTCTATACTTAACTGCTGAACACTCATCCAAAATTATAATACAAGCAAAAGGCTATGAAACCACAACCATCATCTATAAGCCTGGTATCACAGAGACAGCTACTCAGCCTGAGTCTCATATGGCTTTTCCTTTTTATCTTAGTTTAAAACAGCTGCTGAGGCAGGATCCTTTCACCAGAGACACTCAACATACCTCAACAATATGCCATGGGACATAAGTAATATCTAACAATGATTTTTCAGCTATTCAGATGAATCCTTAAGCTCTAATGTACAGTATATTGTTATGTGCCTGTGAGACTGTTTTCTGTGAGCTGCACCTTTAAGCATAACATTTGCTCCTTTAACCAATCTGCAAGGACATTCCCTTTCTCACTAAGGGTGCATCCACACTGCTAGCTCGAAATAAGCTATGCAATTTGAGCTACGCAAATGGCATAACTTATTTGGAACTTATTTTGAGATAGTCTATTTTGAAAAGTTCCTTAATACTCATGGAATGAGGTTATCAGGACGTCAGAATAACACACCCGTTATTTTGATTGCATTTCAAAATAACGGGCATGCTATAAAGATGCGGCAAATACTATTTCGGGATACAGGATATCTTCCAAAATAGTGCCGCAGTCTAGACATACCCCAAGTTGGCTGATTTGACATGGTGAATCACACACACTGGCTACGTCTAGACTGGCCCCTTCTCTGGAAGAGGCACGCTAATTTCTAACTTTGGAATAGGGAAATCCGCGGGGGATTTAAATATCCCCCCTGGGATTTAAATAAACATGGTCGCTGCTTTTTTTCCAGCTTGGGGGAAAGCCGGAAAAGAGCGTCCAGACTGGCGTGATCCTCCGGAATAAAGCCCTATTCCGGAGGATCTCGCAAGTAGGAATAAGAGATCCTCCAAAATAGGGCTTTATTCCGGAGGATCGCGCCAGTCTGGACGCTCTTTTCTGACTTTTCCCCAAGCCGGAAAAAAAGCGGCGGCCATGTTTATTTAAATCCCGCGGGGGATATTTAAATCCCCCGCGGATTTCCCTATTCCAAAGTTAGAAATTAGCGTGCCTCTTCCAGAGAAGGGGCCAGCCACTGTGTTATGTCATGGAGGTAGCTTTATCTCAGTTGATTCTAAAAATAAAAGTGATCCAGATTGAAAGTACTTAAATGATCTTTGTCTACAGAGAAACATAATATATATCTGCAACTGAAATCAGGTTTCAGAGTGTAAATCTTATCAAACATGGAGCAATTGAATTGCTGTCTGCAATAGTCACATCTTCAAATCTCTATCTCTCAAGCCATTATAGGATAGGAGTAACCTTCCTTAAAAGGTGGGCTTAGTGGCACCACATGGTCTGATATAATCTCTGTAGTTTTCGGCCATTTGAATTGTTACTAATCTGCATAAAAGTCTAGTCAGCAAAACAAGTTTAAATGTTACACTATTATAGTCTGTGTTATGCAGGAGGTCTGATCATAACGATCCCTTCTGATCTCAGAATCTAGGAATTTATGAATTTAGAAATAAGAGAACAGAATATTACACCCCAACCTCAGACTTTACACTACTCTTTTTGCATCTTAATGAGAAGTAGTGCAGTTGAAAGATGAAATATTAAGTTGTCCTTGGATCCTTGGTTATGGGATGTTTGCCAAACTCTCCTGAAATAATTGAGAGTAGATGGAAAAATTGTCTCATAATCTGGTCATGTGAGTGATGAACAAGAGCTCTTTCTGTTTCAGCTCATTAAAAATTAACAACTACAAAAACAATAATGATCGATCAGGACGCATAATGGGCTGAGAGTTACTAACAAACAAGCAAATAAATTAATGAAAAATACACAGTTGACATATTTAATCATGTTCCTAAGTTCTTCTGCTTCCTTGCATTGGTGTTTGTCCAGTTGCCAATGTTCTACTAGAAGGTCAACAATTCAATGGGGATTGTACAAGGACTGGCACTTGGCCCTATATATCTCTGTTTCCCAAAGCCAAGTAAGAATTATTCAATGGTCTCTAAATAGGGACAGTACTTATTGAAGACATTGTGCATACCAAGACAACATGACAGGTAAGACATTATTGTTTATTCTAAAGATCCACTCCAGCTTAACAAGAAGTTACGGTGGGCTGGATGCTGGAATCACAGGGGCCATGTCTATACTAGGAAACGATTTTGAAAAGACTAAATTTGACTTAATAACTTCCTATTTATCAACTTCAAAATTAGCCTGTCTTCACTATGGGAAAGCCTTGAAATTAGTTAGAATTAGTCCAAAATAGCAAGCTCATCTTGAAGGGAACCTGCCTCAGACTTAGAGGGTATGTCTACACTAGCCCCCTAGTTCGAACTAGGGAGGCTAATGTAGGCATTTGAAGTTGCAAATGAAGCCCGGGATTTAAATATCCTGGGCTTTATTTGCATCTTCCCGCCCAGTCGCCATTTTTAAATTCCACTAGTCCAAAGTAACTGCCCGCGGCTACACGCGGCAGTGAAACGGCAATTCGAACTAAGTCCTTAGTTTGAATTAATTGTTACTCCTCATGGAATGTTACTCCTCATGGAATGAGGCGTAACAGTCAATTCGAACTAAGGACTTAGTTCGAATTGCCGTTTCACTGCCGCGTGTAGCCGCGGGCAGTTACTTTGGACTAGTGGAATTTAAAATGGCGACCAGACAGGAACCTTCTTGGAACTCTGTGAGTGACTCACCCCTGCCCTCAAGTGACAGGACACCAGCATGAGACCCGCCATCCCCGTGCAAAAGCGTGTGGCCTTCGCCCTGTGGAAGCTCGTCACACTGGGCAGCTACCACTCCTTCGGAAACCAGTTTAGTGTGGGGAATTCTGCAGTTGGGGCCACCCTTGCTCAGGTAGCCAAAGGCAACAAACACATGTGCTACGGAGGGTTGTCACTCCTGGCCACGTGGACACCATCGTCAATGGCTTTGCTGCTATGGACCTCCCCAACTGTGAAGGGGCCACAGATGGAATGCATATCCCCAACCTGGTGCCTGACCTCCAGGCCTCAGACTTTATCAACAGGAAGGGGGACTTCTCCATGGTGCTGCAGGCCCTCATGGATCACAATGGTCGCTTCACCAACATCAACATCAGATAGTTGGGAAATGCGCACAATGCCTCATCTTCCGGAACTTCTGCCTCTTCCAAAAGATGCATGCTGGCTCTTTTTCCCAGACCTCACCATAAGAGTCAGAGAGATGGACATACCCGTAGTGATCCTGGGCGACACAGCCCACCTCTTGCTCCCCGGCTCATGAAGCCCTATACAGGCAGCATGGACCCCAGCAAGGAAGAGTTCAACACCAGGCTGGTCAGATGCCACATGGTCATGGAATGTGTGTTCAGGCATTTAAAGGGGCAGTTCAGGAGTCTCCTCACTGGATGCGTAGATTTTTCGACCCAGTAAGTCGGTCTTTTTAGCCTCCCTGTTCTTAGGAGTGGCCATGGGCTGTCCCTGCCTCTTGCTCTGGTTGACTGCCTGAACTACTAAAGGGAGAGGGTGGGAGAAGAGGTGTTCATTACCCTCCTGGGGGTCAAAATACCTCTGTTCTGCCCACTTATCGGTGGGCGGGATGGACGCTGGGGTTTGCCACAAGGCTGCCGAGATCTTGGCTACTGTCTTGTTGATCGGCAATGCCACCCTGGAGGGACTGTCTGCGTGCAAGATATCAACGGCTGGGTATGAGTCCTCAGAGACCTTGTCCACCTGGACTCCCAGACTTTGGGCCAGGCGGCGGAGGAGGTCTTGGAGGGCCCTGGCATCCATGGAGGGTATGGAGGGTGCAGAGTCAGCCAAAGCCTCGTCAGGGGAGGAGGACAACGACCCCTTTGCCATATCACCCACAGGGGAGTCTGTATGGCTTGGATCGTCCAAAGTGGCCATGGAAGGAGCGGAGAGAGGTTGGCTAACTGGAGCTGCGCTCTCCCTTGGGCCTGGGAATAACTGGCCTGGAGGTAGCTAGTGGGCCGACGTCGGGGACTAGACCAAAGGAGTCACCAGTGGAGGGACTTGTGGACCTGATGTGACAGAAGCCGGTCTAGGAGGATTCACACCCTGACCCTGATGGTAGGCCCAGGGGGTTCAAAAAGGCCACTGTCCGGATGGCTGGGGCAGCCACGTCTGCTGGACCATCGGTACGGGGATCAGCTGAGCCCACTGTTGCTGGTACCGATGTGGAGAAGTACAGTGCTGGGACCAGTGCCGGGAGTGGGAGCGATGTCATGAATGGGACTGAGCCTCGTGAAGACCATGCAGACGCCGCATCAGAATCGGAGGAGTACTCCGAGGTGGTCCATGGTGATGCCGATGCCGATGTTGATTGTCCTGCAGCGTGCCGAGACATGGATTCCGGCTTGCCACGGTGCCGAGGCGGAGGAGGCAGCATGGCTGAGACAGGATCCCTGACGGTAGGTGCCATGGTATCAGGGGCCGGTAGCGGTGCCAGGTGGGTAATCCGCATCACGTCCGGTGCCGGATCCGTTGCTGGTGCTGGTGGCATCAGCACTGGCTTGACAGTAGCCGGTGCCGGGGGAGGTGCCACGTGTGCCACATGGCTTTGCCGCACCTTGTGCACTGTTTCGCCTGGCACCGTAGGAGGGGAGCGGTACTAGGCATCCCCGTGCCGTCTTGAGGGTGCTGGAGTTGGCAGAGGGGAGAGAGAAGAGTCTATAAGGACCCTTGCTGCCTCTAAAGGCTCCGGGCTGGATGGGT